ACAAATTATTATTATTTGTGTCTTAATAATATTATTTAATAGTTTTTATTTAGATATATGAACATTATTTTAAATTGGTAGTTCATTAAATATAAATAAGGTATTAACCTAGTATTAATTCTAAGATTCAAGCTTCTAATAATTTGTTTATCTAATATCGTATGGCATTATTATATAAAAATCGTTTAATTTATATAATAAATTATTTTGTAAAAATAAAATTAGTACATATCACTAGACATTATGTTTATGGTTAATAAAATGCTTCATTAACCTTTTTGGTAATAAAAAGGACTAGCTATATTAAGAATACCTAGTTATGCACACGCGCAAAAAAAAAAAAAAAAATTATTTAATTTTTTTTTTTATATTTTTCTTTTAATAAATGGAGATACGTAAAAAAAAAAAATATATTTATTTTTTTTTTAATGATTTAATTCATGAGAAAAAGATTGGTTAAATAAAAATCGAGAGTAAGATTTAGTACCAATAAAAATTAGATCTTAAACAGATAATAAGGTTTATGCGAAAGAGTTTAATTTGTATATTATATATATTTTTAATTTGTGACAGAAAATTTTATGCATATGACAATAATATTTTCACGTAATTAATATTTATATAATTAATTTACATTTTTACTCATTGTTTATGTTTGTTAATTTAACAGTAATATATTTAAATTGCTTAACATAACTCATAACAAAGAAATAAATAAATTACAATTAAATAATAATCAATATTCAATGAGGATTTAAATTTTTAATAAAATTAAGGATTTTTATTAAAATAAATAAATGCCTATTTAAATCAAAGAATGCTAAAAGAAGTATAGCATATAATTAAGAATCACTCGTTCAAAGCATATAAAAGTATATATAAATACACGAAAATCGTAGAGGCAACTCTACATGCTCTTTGTTATTTTGTTTGTTATGTACTCTGGAAAAGTCATCGAACAGACTATTAATAAATGAGTTCATTCCTTTCAACTTGCCAAAAAAAAAAACAAACTTTTTTTTTAATAATAAACATATCTGACTATTAATTTTTCTTAATCAATATATTTAATGTATCTTCCCAAATCATAAATTATGCATATCCAACTTTTTAATGTATTTCTAATTTATTAACCATTATTTTATAAAAGGTTAATAATATCATTTATTAAGCAATCTTTGATTTAATCCTCTTCAAGTCATAGAACTACCTTATGATATATATATTATAAATGTCTAATTATTTAAAAATTTTCACACTATTTTTTAGTATGTGCAATATTATTTCAAATATATTTTTCATCTCATCATTTTTTATATAATCACATTAAACTATTTTTTATTTTTTGATCGTTTTTCTTATTCATATTATATATTTCCATCTCTTTCTATTCATTCTTAGAATTAACAGTTCCACTACTTTCAAGATTTTATAGTATTCAAGAAAGTTTCATTCATTGGTATATTTGAAGTTTTTTAATTTATATACAAATAGATATACATTTTCTAAGTATTTTTCATGGATCAATAATCATTAAACAATTGAATTTATTGATTCATATGTAACTTTTTGAATATGTTGTATGTTTTACGATAGGAGAATTAATAGCTTCCTTAACAATATATTTTACTATTTTTTAACAAGTTTTCTATTTAATTAAATATTTCCTATCCATTCCTAAATAGAAAATTTTATGATATTACGTGTAATTGTAACATATTGGTTATTTTATCAATAATTAAAAATTTTACTTAATTCATTATATTAGAAAATATAATATAGCTCAAGTATATGCCATTTTTCCCAGTAATTTTAATAGCTTTATTTTTATTATCAAAATTTATAAAGCAATTAAAATAATCTTCTAAAGACATTTCATTGGTTTAGGAAACTCATATATTCTTTCTTGATAATAAATCTATTATTTTTGATTCAAAATTCATGGTACTGATACAAATAAACTATATTTGTAAAAATAATTAAGTTTTCTCACATTTACATTTATTATGATCTAATGATAATCTGATATTGTTTTTCTTGCTTTTATTTCAGTAAATTCTAAAGTTATCACTATTTGGTTCATCAGATTATTACTAAAGTATTATTATATTATATTTAATAATAAAATTAACAAATAGCATGTAAAGCAGTTTTTACTATTTCATTTATTACAAAATAAAATATTATAAATAATATATAATCCATATATTATTATAATATCTAATACGAGATAATCAATATATATGAAATTTATAATTCTTTAGGTAAAATTAATATCTACATTTTATTATTTTTAATATAATATTTAATATATATAACGTTCATATCGTTAAATTATTTTACTTATTTTTACTAAAATATTAACAATATTTATAAACATTTAATGTATAACGAATATATTATCTTTCTTTAAAAAAAAAAGATTCTCATAAATTATAAAATTTTATCTACTTTATCAATTATTTTTCAATCCTTTATATTATGAAAATGTATAATCCTATTTATTTATATACAATAATAATAAAATCATTTTCCAAAAAAAAAAATTAATTGAAATCTTTATGTTTAATATTCACCTTTTTTATTATACTTTTTTTTTTTTAATGTACAAATTATCCAAAATAGTTTGTATATACAACAAAACTTTTAGATTTATTTTATTTTATTCCGTTAAATCTTTAAAACTGATGATCATATTTATTATTTTCCATGAAATTATTTTTTTTTTTTTGAATTTTTTTAAGAAAAAATTTTATAATGGTGGTATATAAATAATATTACGGACCTCTTTTGTGTATAATTTAGATTAAAAAAAAGAAATATTTAATTTTGTATGTGCTGAATCGCTGGAAAATTTTTCAATCATAAATACATACACTAAAATAGTTATTCAAAAAGTATGTACACTAAAAAAAAAAAAATATCATATAAATATATTTTTTTCTTTATGGTATATAGATTATTGTGGGTTGTATATTTTATGTTAAAATGTAATATTAAAAAGAGGTTACATATTGGATTATTTTGTAAATTAACTTAAGAATATAAATAACTACTAAGTAGTATTTGATGTTGATTAATAAATATAAAAATTTTAAATTAAAATTTTAATTAAATAAAAAATAAATTAAGTAGATATATTTTACATGTTTTTTATTAATTTATTTGTTTGATACTAGCAAAATCATTGAACAAGCAATTAATAAATTAAATGGTGATACTTACATCCTTAAATATAATATCAAATCATGTCAATGTTAGCTAATATATTATAAACAATAAAAATATTGAAGCTTAACATTTTTTTTTACAAAGTATTAAGTTTTATTATTGTTAATATTTACTTTAATTATATTAATGATGCTTCCTAATTCATGCATAATTATAATATGTAAGAAAACAATTAAATTTAATTTCTGAAATTATAAAATATGTAAAACACAAAAATTAATAGGCCAATAATAGATATAAAATTTAATATTATTTGCTAAAATCACGATATTTAAATAATAATTATTATGGTAATAAAATAAAGATCTTTAGTTTTATATAAAGTGAAAAATTTTAATATCTATAAGAAGTAAAATAATTTAATATCTAAAATTTTATTTTTTTAAGACATTAAATGATAAACGGAATAAAAGTCAGTTGATTCTTATTTATTAGATCATTCAAGTATTAAAATTAAAGGCATAAAAAAAGAATTTTTTTTTATTAAATGAATTTTACACAAAATTAAGAGATAATAAATTGCGTTAAATATAATTGTAAAAAATATTAACAAAATATGGATATCAAAATAAATAATAATACAGCAAAATATACTTTAAATTAAAATAAAATATCGTGAACATGTTAAAACTAAAATAAATGGTACTGAGATATCAATTATAAAATTAATTTAAACATAGTGCATCACATTTTTTCTTAATAAAATTAAATTATTACTTTAAATGAAAAAGCGTTAAATTTAATTAAATCCAATTAAAAAGAAATAAATTTTATATTTATTTTAATTTTCGTAATACATTTTATTTAAACTATAATAATATACAATATTTTTTAAAAATTTTTTTTTTGAAAATGTTTTGAAAAAAAATTTTTATTGCATGATGCTTTCACTGAAGATTTAATTCTTGCTTTCAAATATTTATTTAAATATATTCTTTTCTAAATGAACATATAGGTTTTGATTTATTTTTTTTACCAAAATATTAATTAAATTTAATTATAGGCACAGTTGACAGTTTCCTCAAGAAAACTCATTAAAATAGAAAAAAAAATTTATTCATATTTTTATCGTTCCTTTTTATATAATTAAAATAATTATTTTTTATGTATATAAATCCATTCTATTCAAAAAAAAAAAAAGATGATATAACAAGAAGATAAATAAAAATAAATTAAAGTTTTAACTATATTTAGATTTAGGCTTTAAACTAAAAAACGTTATTTTATATTAAATAAATCCTAAAATTTTATTTTATTTGCAATTCATTATAAAAAATTTTTAAATAATCAAAATTTATTAAACCATTTTTATTTATGAAATTTACTTAATAATTACTTACGAGAAAAATATAAAACTAAAGTAATAAATTTGAATATTTTAAAATAAGTTATTAAGTATAATAAACTAAGACTAAATATATATATATATATATATATTTTATCTCCATACAAATTTTTTTTTGCTGATTTTTATATTATTGTAATAAATTAAATTTAAAAAGATATTGTGTTTTTAAGATATAAAATATTTATGTAAAGTAGAAATTAAAAATTATTTAAAAAAATTTTGAATGCATTTTCATTTTGATTTCTATTAAAAAACATATTGTACTTTCCATAATAAGAAAGTTCATTAAAATTTTTAAAAGAAAAATTAAAAGAATTTTTTTTATTATACATATAGGAGGTATATAGAATCGAGTTTTATCATGGATAAGTTTTTAAGATTAAATGTCTTATAAAAATAGAAATAATTATTCCTATTCCTAATGGAAAGTCATTTAATTTTAGTCTTTTATTTTAATTTCTTAGTAATAAACATTTAAATTATATAAAAGGAAAGAGTTTTCATATATTTTTTTTCTTTTTAATTCTTTATAGATTGTAATATTGAAAAATGTTTTCTTTTATTCCATTAATCCATACCACAACATAAAGAAGTATTTAATTTAATTTATATGAAAAAAAACTACATGTTTGTAATATATTTGAAAATATATTTTTTTTATATTTATAAGGTTTGAACTTAAATTTATGCACACGAAAATACAATTAATAAGAAATTTAGCGGATTTTTTTGATGTTAAAGATGAGGATATCTTAAATGATCAAGGTATCTCAATAAAGGATCTACAATTATTGTATAACAGCAATTTAAGTAAGAGTGAAAATACATCGAATGAAGTCGATTTTGAAGATTTAAGGACTTTATTTGTAAAATTAGTTGATAAATTGTTTTTAACAAATTATAAAGAATGCTTAGAGAGCGAAAAAAAACATCATAATTCTCTACGTAACACGTTGGAGGGTATCAGCCGTGACTTGTTAAGTCTTCTCCATAGTTCACTCGATAATGTAAAAAATCATGTAAATTCAATATTTCAGGAGAATAATGTTTCTTGTGAATATGAATTAAGTATGTTTAATGGCATAGATATTTCCTTTCTTTTAGGTTTTCCATTAAGATTAGATGATTCTTTTGTATTTTTTGATAATTTAGATAAAAAGAATAGTGAATTTTTTTCTAACTTTAGTAAAAATATTTCAAATTATCATATATATATTATTAGGTATTTAAACAAACGTGTAAATAGGTTTCCTTTGAAATATAATTATACAGAAGATGAAGTTCCCGTTAATTCTCACAGTAATGTAATGGGTACCCTTTTAAAGGAATTTACTAAATCCATATTAAGTCATAATGAAGAAAAAACAGATGACATGAACTCTCCTCTTAAGATAGATGTTCATCATATTAATAATCTAATTGATAGTACGTATAGAATGTTAGATGCTACTATAAATTTAAAAACTCATGCCTTATTCGTAAAACTAAATAAAATATTAAATAATGATATAAAAATTTTAATAGCCTTTATTGCATACATTCTTGAAATAGATTATTCTAGTAATAAGTTTACATTAGAAGAAATTAAAGAAAATCATGGAGATGAAATATTTAATGATAAAATTTTAAATAATATATATGAATTATTTTTACAAGAGAGAGATTACATAAAAAAATCCTTAAATAAATTTAAAGAATATATTCAAGCTATTTTTGGTTTTGATGTAAATAGTTTAGGTATTAGGTCATTAGTACAGAAGCTTTATGGATCAATTGATAAAAAAGAAATTGTGGAAGTATTTAATGTTATTGTATACTCATTATTTTGTAAGAAACAGATAGATGAATATTCGGATTTTATAAAATCACTTAAAAATGAATCGCAAGATAGAAGGTCAGGTATTGGGAAATTTATATATCTCTTTGAAAAACCCCATGATAACGTTTTTTTTATTCCAAAAAATAAATCCTCTAATTTATTATTAAAATTTACTGAAATTTGTAAAAGAAATACTTTTATGAATAATCTCGCACACATCAATGAACATTTATTATCATTAGATATTTACTCTGAAAATGTAAAGAAGTTTAAAGCCTTTATTTACTTAATACACTTAATAAATAAAGAATTGATTGAATTGAAAGAACATTATTTTACTTATGGAAACGGAAAACTGTTAAGAAAAAATTCAATTTTATATCTTCTTCATGATATTGTGAGATTTAATGATAGTTACATCAAATATGAAAATAACGCTATGTTTTCTTAAAAATTATAGTAAAAAAAAAAGTTATTTTTTGAAAGTAAAAGAAAATTTAATTTTGTGATTATTTTAAAAATTTATATATATTTTTATCTTTTTATTAGAAGTTAATTTGTTAATTGAATTTTTAAATACTTTTATAGTACATAAAACTATTAAGTTAACAAAGGTTGCGCAAGTAATATGCACTAACTTTATTTTTGTAAAATTACATATAACAGTTATTGATTTTTACATAATTACGATATGTAACATAAAGTTAACAATTTAATTTACCTTAAACATCAAATTCTTTAATAAATTCTGCCATAAATAAATAGTTTATTATTCTTAATAAGTTAAAGTTTTATAATGTTCATATGGTTTAATAATAATATTATGTACTCTGTTAAAGCTTAAACAATCCATTACAAATATTTAAAATATAATATACATATGTCTTTCATAAAAACTACTTTGAGTGATCGAATTTACATCTTTTTGTCAATCTTCCATTAAACTTAAAAATTTTAATATAAAAAATAAAATGTTTTTTTCTATTGAATGCATTTTTAATGCTTTTCAAACACCATATATGAACAAATAAAAATTTTTGTGTATTTTTCTTCATTCCATTGAAAATTCTAAGAGGTAAATAACACTCTTTATTGTCCAATAATTTTTTGTTTCTTCATTAATGTATAAGTATTTTTTACTTCTAGTGATATTATTACTTTTATATTTATATAACATGCATCATATCTAGAATATATATTTAAATGATTTAAATAAATAATAATACGTTGTACTAAATATGTTATTTATTAATTTCCCATTTAATGAATTTGCTAGAGTAAAGAACAGAAAAATTAAAAGCATGCAAAATTATCCATATAAATTTAGTTAAAAAAGTTATAATAATTCGACAAACTAATGAGTTTTGTGGTTTATATTATTGAACATGTATTTTTTTTAAGAAGAATTTATTTATTTTAACAAAAATTCTTCATTTTTATTAAAAATTTAAATAGTCATTATTAATTTTTAAATAAAAACCACCTAGAAATAATTTTTTTTATGAATATATATATAGAAATTTTCTTTTGTTACTTTTGAATAAATTAAAACACATAAAAATTTAATATAGAATTCAAAACATATTTATGCATTTTTACACCAGTTTTATTCCCCAAAAAAAAAGTTTCAAAAAAAATAAATAAAATGATTTTTTTCTTTTTTTTTTTATACTATAAACTGTGAATAATTTTGTATTTTTCATATATCAACAGATTATCATTACAAAAAAGATAATATTACTATTTTTAATCAATTTTATTACTTATTGTCTATCTATAATTTTATCAACTTATTTTATAAAATATATAAATAAATAAAATAAATACATAAAAAACATGTACACTAAAAAAAAATAGATATACCTTATTGTATTTTTTTTTTTTTTTTTTGTCTTCTTGTAGTTACATTTATAAAATAAAACACATTTATTTTTTTTTTTTTTTATATATTGGAATCTCTAAAAAAAAAATTTTTGATTATAGTTTTTTTTTAAAAAAAAAGCATCTCAAAAAAAAGAAAATATTTATTTTTTTTTGACGAAGATAATGTAGAGCATTTTTTTTTAAGAAAATATTAAAAATGTAATATAAAATATGATATATATGGCATATTATGTAAATTAACTTAAATAATAATTAATTTAATTAATATTAGTGGTTAATAAAAAGCTTCATTAACCTTTTTTGCTATAAAAGGACTAGCTATGTGGAGAATACATAGTTAGTTGTGCTAACTAAAAAAAAAAAAAAAAAAGAAAAAAAAAAAAAAAAAAATTATTGGATTTTTTTTTTGAGAAATGTTTCTTTCGAAAAAGATAAAGATAAAAAAAAAAATAAAAAAAAAAAGATTTAAATTATTATTTTTTTTTTTTAAGGAGAAAAAAATCAGAGAGAGAGATTTTTTAAAGAAGATAATGATATTTTTGTAAAGTGTTTAATTTGCATAATATTTTTATATTTTGAATTTATGAGAGAAAATTTTATACATATGAAGGTAAAATTTTCATGTAATTAATATGCATATAATTTATTTGCATTTTTAATAAGTATTTGTGTTTTGTTAATTCGATAGCAATATAAAATGATTGCTGAATATAACTCGTAATAAATAAATTAATAATTGTAATCAATTAATAGTTAATGTTAAATAAGTGTTTAAATTTTTAATAAAATAAGGATTTATTTATTAAAGTAAATAAATACTTATTGAAGCAAAAGAATGCTGAACGAAGTAGTTTATGATTAAAGATCATTCGTTCAAAGCATATAAGAATATACATAAGTATAAGAAAATCGTAGAGTCATCTCTACATGCTCTTTATTAATTGGTTTGTTTAGTACTCTAGCAAAGTCTCAGAACACCCAGTTAATAAATCAATTAGACATTAATTAACATAAGTGAATAATTTGTTTAATATGTTTTTTTAATTATAAGAGAATACTTAGAGTTTTCTCTACATAACCTTTATTAACTAATTTGTCAATATTAGCAATGTAATATATTAAATGCCTATTCAATGACTTTACTATAGTATTGAAAAACATATTAATAAAGAGCATGTAGAGTTGCCTCTATTATTTTAATGAATTTAAATTGGGTTTCAATGCTATATACCATTAAATTGTTTTATGCATAGTCCACTTCATTAAGAACTTATTTACTTTGATAAGAATCCCATATTATCATTAAAAGTTTAATACCTTATTATTTGTTTATTATAATAACATATATTTAATTTATAGTGTTATGAGTAATGTTTAGCAACTCAAATTCATTTCTCCTAAATTAATAATCATAAATAATTAACAAGATACAAAATAAATTATATAAATATTTAAAACACAAAAATTTTATTATTATTAATGTAAAATTTTCTTATATATATTTAAAAAATATATACTACAAGAATCTTTTTGGTCAATAATACTTCTTTTTAATTTTCCTCACAATTAAATCATTTTAAGAAAAAATAAATTTATATATATATATATATATATATATATATATATAAATTACAAAAAGAAACCAAAAAAAATAACTAATTTTTTTTTTTTTTTGCTTTATCTAGCACTTGCATGGATAACTATTTATTTTCCATGCAACTATTTTTTTTTATTCTGAAAAAGGTTAAGAAGACCTTTTATTAACCATATATATCTCATAACTATCTAGAATACAAAAGAAGTACGTTTAAATGAGCAACTATTATTTCATAAATTATTAAAAAGATCAATGAACTCTTGTTTTATTAACTGGGTGTTAGGTGACTTTATTAAAGTAATGGTTAATAAAAGGCTTCATTAACCTTTATGATAATGAAAAGGACTAGCTATATGAAGAATACGTAGTTGGTTGTGCACATGCGGAAAAAAAAAAAAAAAAATTTATTGAATTTTTTTTGATATTTTTCTTTTAATAAATGGAGATACGTAAAAAAAATATATTTATTTTCCTTTTAAATGATTTAATTGGTGAGTGGTTAATAAAAGGCTTCATTAACCTTTTTGGCTATAAAAAGGACTAGCTATGTGTAGAACACGTAGTTAGTTGTGATAACTAAAAAAAAAATTATTGGAATTTTTTTTTAGAAATGTTTCTTTTGAAAAAGATAAAGATAAAAAAAAAAAAATAAAAAAAAAGATTTAATTTTTTTTTTTTTAATTCAAAAAGAGATTTTGAATAGAGAGAGAGATTTTTTTCTTAGAAAAGATAATAATTATTTTGTAAAAAGCTTACTTTTGCATAATATTTATAGTTTTAATTTATGAGAGAAAATTTTATACGCATGACAATAAAAATTTCACGTAATTAATATTCATATAATTTATTTGCATTTTTAATAATTGTTTATGTTTGTTAATTCAACAGAAATATATTTAAATTGCTGAACATAACTCATAACAAAGAAATAAATAAATTACAATTAAATAATAATCAATATTCAATAAGGATTTAAATTTTTAATAAAAATAAGGATTTTCATTAAAGTAAATAAATGACTATTGAAAATAAATAATGCTGAATAAAGTAGATTATGTAATTAAGGATCACTCATTCAAAGCATTTAAAAATATATATAAATACATCAAAACCGTGGAGGCAGCTCTACATTCTCTTTATTAATTTGTTTGTTCAGTACTCTAATAAAGTCACCAAACACACAGCTAATTAAACACAAATTTACTGAATATACAATTAATAAATCAAATGCTCTAGCAAATTCATTGTACAGATAATTAATAAATAAAAAATTACGCTAAAAAGAAATATAGATATATTTTGTTATTCATTTTTGTTGTATGTGTATTTACAATTATAAAAAAAAAAAAAAAAAAAAAAAAAAAAAAACATTATGATAGCATTTTTATTCTTTTTCTTTAATTGAATAATACGCAATGTTTTTATTTTATGAAATATTAAAAATATAATGTTAAAATTTATTCATATAGAGTATTAAGTGAATAAAATTATATAGTAATATTCTAATGTAATTAATGTTTAATATTAATTGATAAAAGTGTATACTTTGTTTAATATTTTATTTTTTTTAAAATAAGCCTAGTTCTCTCCTCATGTTCACTACTAAGTTGCTTTCTTAGTCTAATGAAAACATTGAAAGAAAAATTAATAATAAATATTCCATATTCATTAATATATTAAGCAAAATATAAAAAAAAGAAAAAATACATGCTTATAAAATAATAATTCAATTTATTTTTTAGATAATTAATGTATATTCTGTCTTATAATATATTTAATGGAATTATTCTATAATTCATAATAAAATTATTTACTTCTTTTCTTATGTATTGTATTCTTACTATTATAATTTTGCTTTTAGGTTATATCATATTGGTAGATCCTAAGAATTATATAAATTTAAGCACATGTAGAAGTTATTTAATCAAAATAATGTATCAATTTTTTTATCAAAATTTGGAATATTTTCTTTATTTTTTATATTATTGGTTTTTTGATTTTTTTTCTATCATAACATGTGTTAATATTAATATAAAAAAAAATACAAAAAAAAAAAGCATTAATAAAATTTATTTTGTATCTTTAACTAAAAAATAAAAATAAAAGCATGCATCAGTTTCTGCATGACAAGATGAAATTTTATTTTTATTTTTTCTATTTAATATAATTTTATTTAGTTATTTAATAAAATTCATTTCTTTTCATGTTTGATGTTACCAAACATGAGAAAACAAAAAATTTCTATATATATTACTTTTTCGGAATTTTTATTTATACTATTGTATATATATATATCTTGAATTATTTATATTAAACAAAAATATAAAAATGCTGTATTTATTTATAAATTAAAAACTTAATATAAGTATTTACATAATTTTAAATTTATGTGATATATATGTATCTTTTTTTTTTAATTAAACATATTTATTTCATATACAATTATATAAAGATCCAATATTCTACTAAAAATCAGTTGTTTACATATTTCACTAAAATATAAACTTATATATTAAAAGAGCAAACAAATTCACTGCTCATACAGATAAAATAAGTAAGACATCATTAATTATACATTTAAAATTGTTTTTTCTTAATAAAAGATCTATAATTTTAAAAAAATTATTTATTTTATGTTTGCATATTTTTCAATTCACTTTCTTTTGGATCAGTAAGTTCATATTACTATTTTATTATTATTTCTTTATTATATAAATATGTTAAAATTTATTTTTTAAAAATTAAAAATGACATATGAATATAGTTGAAAATTTTATACATATAACAAAATATTTACAGTTCAATGTTATAAATATGAAACACGTCTTCCATGTATATAATCCTAAAATTCTTGCAAATAATGTAAAATGTAGACTATTTGCAACTCAAGAAATCATAATTTTAACAATTTATATATGTAAAATATTAAGATTTTCTATATTAAATAGTAGTTGACTTATTTAACTTTTGTACATATGTATATCATTTAAATAAAAATTAATCTGTGTAACATTACATTATTATTTTAGTTTTAAAATATATAAATCTTTGCAGTGTATTGTAGTTCCTGTAAAATTATTTATGTTTTTTTCAATATTCAGACTAAGCAGCTTTTCTAAAAGAATCATATAAAATTTTTTTTTATATTTTAAAATAAAATTGTTATATATTTAAATTAAAAAAAATTATTTAGTATATTAAAAAAACTCAGATGTATTCAAATATTCAAAATATTCTAAATGTAATATATTTACTGATTAAAGCTAATACCAACATTAATGTTAATCATGTAATTCATTGAATTAAATACATATACTTTTTAGTAAATAAAAATCATAAATATCTCACATGATATATAACGTATAAATCATTGGTATATGTACGTTCTAGTTACTATTAATAGTGCTATTATTATCATTAAGTTGATGAATTTTATACAAATGATTCAGACGCAAGCAATAATTTTTTGCTTTACATAAAGATATTTTTTTTTTTTTTTTAAGTTGTTTCATATTTAAATACAAAATGTACGTGCATGCAAATAATTTATATTACATTTTTGTTTTTCAAACTCATTAATATTCAGTCGCATCTTTATATCGATATCAAAATAAAATTTACTAATTAATCCGTTGCTAAAATAAGCATGATATTATTAATTAAATAAATTTCATTATAACTACTGTAATAAATTAAAATGTATAATCATTTTTATTTTAATATATTATTACTTGTAAAAAAATTATTGATTTCATGGGATTAAAAATTCCATTTATCATATTTTTATAGTTAAAAATTTATTATTATATAACAATTATATTCATTCTTTGTTGAAGCATAATTATTAGTTTTATTACTNAACAACCATCCAAAAAGTTTAATAATTCTGTTTATTACTTCTAAATTTTTTTCTATTGTTTTACTTAATTTTCGAGTTTCTTATTTTACCATTTTTCCTTCTTTCATTAAATATTTTTGAAAAAAATAAATATATTTTTTTTATGTATTTGCAATTTATTAAAAGAAGAATAAAAAAAAAAATTCATTAATTTTTTTTTTTTTTCGTTTGCGTGACCAACTACGTATTCTTCATATAGCTAGTCCTTTTTATTATCATAAAGGTTAATAAAGCCTTTTATTAATAAATATTCAAGGAATTTAAATTTTATATGAAATAAATTGTTCATTTTACGTTATTTAACATAATTATATATAAATAATTTATAATCTATAGAAAACAGTGGACCAAAAATCTAATAATGAACTTTGTGAAACTTAATTAATTTGATAGTTTAATTAACATATTACTTAAATAGCGAATTAATATAGCAAAATCCTAATAAAATGTTAAGAAGTATTAAGCAGGACATTGTTAACCTGCCCTATGTACTATTTCATAAAACTGATAATTAGATAATCTTCCTACATGAAAAAATAAAATCCAATTTATTTTTCAAATGGATAAGATTCTCTTAAGATACAAGCAAAAAGATAAATGCATACACATTATAGAATTTTTAATTATTTAGATAATAAATAGGCAATAAGGTATTGGTTAATAAAAGGATTTATTAACCTTTTTGGAAATAAAAAGGACTAGTTATAGGAAGAGTACGTAGTTGGTTATTCACACGCAAATAAAAAAAAAAAAAGAAAACAAAAATTATCAATTTTTTTTTTGTTTTTATTTTTATTAATAAGAGGACATAAAAAAAAAAAATTTTTTTTTTTTTTTTTTTTTTTTTTTTTTTTTTTTACATTTTTATTTGTTTTATTTAAAAAGAAAATTTTTTTGTATTCATAAAAATTAAATAAAGCACTTTCGAAAATAAAATAAGTTTTTTTCTAATTTAAAATTATATTTTATATAGTTAAATTGTCATATTATTAGAATTAAAGCTAATTATATAAATTTTAATGATAGTTATATATTATGTTTGTCTATTTTAATTTATCTTTATAAAAAAAAAGGTTTATGGAAGTTTTTTATAATATCTAAATAAATAAATATAGAATATTCTTAAGTTTTTAATGAATTAATCAATTATTTTTACAAAAGAAACATATATGAAAAAAAAAAAAAAAAAAAAAAAAAAAAAATATTTACAAAATGTACGTGCATGCAAATAATTTATATTACATTTTTGTTTTTCAAACTCATTAATATTCAGTCGCATCTTTATATCGATATCAAAATAAAATTTACTAATTAATCCGTTGCTAAAATAAGCATGATATTATTAATTAAATAAATTTCATTATAACTACTGTAATAAATTAAAATGTATAATCATTTTTATTTTAATATATTATTACTTGTAAAAAAATTATTGATTTCATGGGATTAAAAATTCCATTTATCATATTTTTATAGTTAAAAATTTATTATTATATAACAATTATATTCATTCTTTGTTGAAGCATAATTATTAGTTTTATTACTATAACTTACATTATACTAAGTTATATTTTTAATTATTATTTCTTTTATAATTGTAAAATATAATTTCTCCAAATGCAAAATTTTTTTTAATTTTTTTTATCTTTTTTACTTTATATTCATTTTTTCTTTTTTATTATTTTTTCATTCACCTTTTTTTTTATAGATTTTGCATTTTTTTATTATGTTTTTTTTCCTACTTTTTCCGAGTCAATTATTTTTTTATAACAATTAAATTTATTAAGATTTACTTATAAAAAATATTTGTGCATGCAAAAAAGTTAATTTTTGTTATAAATTTTTTTTCTTTTGCTCATGTATTTTTTATTTGAAATAATTCCTTTAAACGGTTACGAATAAAATTCATCAATATAAAAATAAAATCTTCTATTATTTAATGGTAAAATGATTATTATAAATCACTAAAGTTTTATTAATTTTTGTTTGTGTAAAATTTTTTTTTTTTATTCTTAAATTATATCCCTAGCATAATAAATATAATTCATTTGTCAAAGTACACAATTATTTCTGTAGTAAAAAAATTAACATTTAAAAAATACTAATATTGACCTCTTCATTAATATACAAAATATTAAAAAAATAATAAATTATTACATATGTTGTATATTTTTCATATATGGAATTATTAACCCTGTTAAATTAATTTTAAGAATTTTCATAAGAATAAATTGACTTCCTCACTAATTATTTACTTAGATTTAATTAATTAAAATTTTAGGTACTCTGTAGAAAAAAATAGAGAAGAGATTAAAAACATAGATAATTAATATTTGAAAGGAATATTCATCGTATTTTTTATTTTCATATAGTTAGAAAAATTAATATTATCTAGAACAAAATATAGTGTCATTGTTTATATTTATGAGCAAACTGTGAATGAATTCTTATTAAAGATTTTGTTATAAACTTGAGAATATATCAATTTAATATGGAAAAAAAACTAATGTATTGTAAAATTTGTATAATACTCTTGTTATATTAAAAATATGTACAAGAACTTTGGGAATGAGACATTTACTTAATATATTTAAAGAAACACTTGTAAATAATAGTTCAACTAATTCTAATGTTTCAGCATCTAATAATAATTTAGATTCTAAAATTGATAGGATTATACTTGCATTAATTCTTACCATTAACTTATTTATTATATTTTACATTATCATTTTTATTTACAGACTGAAAGTAATATAAAATAATATGAAAAAATGCTATTTACTTATTATATTAATGTAATTATTTCATTAATAAAAATTGACATTATTTTATATTAATTTTATTTGTATAATATATCCAGCAAAGAGCAATACATGATAACCTAATGTTAGAAGTTGGATCAGTAGATTCAGGATATGCAGACATTGAAGATGAAGATATAGATGAAGAAATAGATGAAGGAGCAAGAATAGTAGATGTAGATGACAGTGTAGAAAGAACAGTAAATGAAAGAGTAACATTAAATGTACATGGGCAAATAAATAGTGAAGAAGATGAAGTAGTAGTAAGAATTTATTAGTTGATTTGATTAAAGCTTTAGAAAATAATAGTAAATTATAAGTGACAAGTTAGCTATGTATTATACCTTTTTAGGAATAAGTCTAACATTCCGATAAACAAAAATGTATATTTAGATAAGAGGAAGCATAAACGAAAAATAATTTTTTTTTGTAATTTTTGTTTTTAATAATATTCTATTTCAGTTTTAAAAAAAAAAGTAAATAGATATATTTCCTCTTCTACTTGTTTAAAAGAATGAAAAAAAAAAAATTTTTTTTTGTTGATCTTCTAATGAGTACAATTCTTTGAAAAAAATTTGTTAACCTATAATGAAAAATTATTAGTTTATAAAAAAATGCTATTTTACATATAAATTGTTTTTGTAATAAAAATTTGAATTTTAATGAAAATAAGAAGAAATTCTTATTAAATAAAATAAATACTCTTTGTGAAATAAGTATTATGTTTAGAATAGTAAAAACAATTAATTAACATATTTTTACATAAAGAATTAGAAGTATTCTATATTTAAACTATTTAGTTTATGCTATATAATGTAACGCATAAAGTTTAATTATTTATAAAAAATATATTCCTTACAATAAATAAAAATAGTAGAGGCTATTCTACGTTTTCCTTATTTGTTCATTAATCTAGCAAAGTCTTTAAACATTCCATTTATAAATCAATTATGATGAATAATGAGAATTACATACTTGCATATCGAAAGTAAAATCGGAAAAAAAGAGAAAATAAAGATACAAGATAAATTGGATATCAACAATTTTACTGATAAAACTTATATAATAACTCAAAATAAAAAGGAATTAAGAAGATAACTATAAAATGTTCCATTTTTCTTTAGAAGTAAATGTATAAAAAAAAAAAGAGTGAACATAGATTTTCTATTAGTACATAAAGGAAAATGAAAAACTATTTTTCTAAATCTTTGAATGAAGTGTTATTAGAGTTACGTAGGAACATTGATAAAAAATCCTATTTGGGCTATATGAGATAATACTGTTACGTAAATTTTATTCATTATATTAGTTAAATAAAGATGGTATTGAAAGTAACTATCAATTTCCTCTGTGTTAATAAGTATATAATTTTTCAATAAAGAGTTTTATCTATTTCTTTGAACCATCAATAAGATTAAATGAAATATAACACCAAGTTTAGTTATGCATGCAAAATATTTAAGAAAATGCATACACTGAAGTTTACAAAAAGATGATTTATGCCTTCTACTTTGAACTTTCATTTTAAAGGGATAATTTTTTTTATCATTGTATAAATTTAATACATATATATATATGGAAAGAAAAAAAAAAAATTTAGTGATTTTTTAATTGAATAACAAAAAATTAGTTATTAAAAAAGAAAAAGTTAATAACATATAAAAGTTATATTTTTAATGTAAGATAGTAAATATGTATTGTATTTTAAGAGTTTACAAATTATTATTATTTGTGTCTTAATAATATTATTTAACAGTTTTTATTTAGATATATGAACATTATTTTAAATTCGTAGATTATTAAAAATAAATAAGGTATTAACTTAGTATTAATTCTAAGATTGAAGCTTCTAATAATTTGTTTATCTAATATCGTATGGCATTATTATATAAAAATCATTTAATTTATATAATAAATTATTTTGTAAAAATAAAATTAGTACATATCACTAGGCATCATGTTTATTAATGTGTTTACTTTTTATTAGCATCTTCGAATGGAAATTAAGATATAATTTGTTAAAAAAGATATAATTATTTTTTTAATAGTATGTTCAATAACTTTGACATATCAATGAAAAAATAAATTAATAAATGGATTGTAAAGAATTTTCTATTAATTTTAATTATTGCAAAAATTATACTGATACGTCCAATAAGAAAACGTAACACATATAGATTACATAATTGAAAATTTATTCTTTCAAAGAAAATTAACTTTAATGAAAATTATCATTCTTTTTATTAAAAATTTAAATTTTCTTTAAGTCTGTTCTATGTGAAATATTCCTTCTAAATAAACTAACAAATTTTAATAGAGTTAAATATTTTTAAACATAAGAATTAAATACAAATAAAAAGAAAATACTTTTTGTTTTTTCATTAATCTTTAAACCTAATTTTTCATATTTCGAAAAATTAATCTGACTTGATGGAAAAAAATTTAATGAACAAAATCAAAGTAACAAGAAACATTAATTTTCAACAATTAATAACGGAAAAAAAATTAAATTTTTAGTGATATGCATAATAATAACACTTAAAAAAAAGAGAAGAAATAACTTTTCTTTTTTTAAAGAAAATATATATGCTAAACTTATTGATTTCCTTATCTTACTTTATGACATCTAATATTTTTTGTATTTCTTCATTAATCCTTCTATTATTATTATTAATAAACTCTTAAAGTGAAATATTTTTATATACATAAATATAAAAATAATTCTAAAGTTTTAATACAGGTACCTCTATATTCTCTTATTTCTATTAGTTACTTTTATATGACTTTTTAACTGCATTTAGCATATCACTCTAGTCTTATTACTTAACAGTTAAATCTTTGTTAGTGAGACCCTTATTTTTTTACCTTTACAATAAGTAGGTATTACTTTTATATTTTCATCTTTGATTTAGTATCTATGATTTATTAATTAATTGTTAAAAGATCATAGTAGTATTTAAAATTGTCAAATTAATAAAGAGCATATAAAAAGATACCTACTTATTTTATTTATCATAAAATTAATTTACTTAGGTAATTATTTACCTCTTATATAATTATTTATTCGCAGTAAATTATATGCATTTACTTATTTATCACATAATTTTTATTTAGTTATAAAAAAATATATTATCGCTATGTAATCTCAAAAAGAAATTAAAATAATACAATACTAATTTTTTTTATGTAATTTTATTTTTATTATAATACACACTTTTTATAGGCACTTCTCTAATACATTTCAGAAGATATTTATTTTTCTTAGTAAGCTACTTTGTGATTTTTCTGTGTAAACAAAATATTGTTACTCATATCTTCATACATGTCTATTAATTATCTTATAAAAGCTTGTAAATATTAAAAGCAACTCATTAATATAATTTCTCAAAAAGGTTAAGGAAGTATTTTATTGATCACTTTATGAGGCAAAGATCAATATGACATAAATTGTATTCTTCTATATTGTTACATTTGACTTATAGTATATTTAAAAAATTCATAAGAAATAATATTTCTTATATTAGAATTAATATTTTTAATTTTTTCTTTTTAATTTTACTTAAATTATTGTGTGACTTTATATAGATCACTTAAATAAGTAGTTCTCATTTTCTATATAATTTTGTATAATATATATGAAAAACATTGTAATATTTAATAAATTCCGAGTATAGAAAAATACAATAATTCCTTTAATGCACATTACATACATTCCTATTCAGTAATACTTATTTTTATACTATTTCATCAAAAGGTAATTTTTTTCTTCAGATAAGATTTTATACATGTGTTTTATACCTTTAGTAGAACTTTTATTTATACCTTTTTCTCTATAATAAGCGCTCCTATAATATACTTTCACTTGAAATTATTTAGTAATATATTCTTGAAATTTTTTGCTTATTTATCTATAAATAATATTATCAACCCATTTTAAAAGATATTTAAATAAATAAATAAAAACGTTTTTATTAGCGTACACTAAAAAAAAAATAAGTAAAAAGAAATATATACACCAAAAAAAAATGTAGATGTCATTTATAATATTTTTTTGATGTATATGTGTATAGCTACAATTTTAAAAAAAATATATTTATTTTTTTTTATTTGTGTTTTTGAGATTCTAATATAAAAAAAAATATTATGATTATAGTTTTATTTTAATTTTTTAGAATAAATGAAGTAGTACATTTTTTTTTATGAAAGATTAAAAATATTATATTATATAATATATATATATGCTATAAATTAACTTAAAAAGTAATTTATTAATGAAATTAATATTTGATATTATTTAGCAAAAGTAGTAAATAATATGTTTTATATTTTATTTTAATTAAAACAAAATAAGCAAAATTTTCTTTACATGCTTTTAATTAATTTTTTCGTTCATTACTAGCAAATTCATTGAATGGGCAATTAATAAATCATGTATATAAAGTCTATAATGATCCATTAAAATTATTCTTGAATATATAAATATAGAGATAAATTTGTTACTTATAACTTCAATTGAATTTACAATAAAAAGGGTTTTATTAGTTAGATTTGTTAATATAAATATGAATAATTATCTTTCACTGTGTGTATAAAGTATTTTTTTTATTTTTCTTATTCTAGATCCTACAATATCTAGTGAACCATATAAAATACATTAGGTTTTGGTAATATTTGATTTTTGCTATACTTAAATCGTTTATCGTGCATTGCTTAAGAAAGCAAACAATGTTTAATATATTAATCAATATTAAGAATAATATTATATCACCAAAAATGTCGCTTAACTTTCTTTAAGATCTTAATTAATTCATAGTATGATGAAAACTTACTACTGTGAAAACAATGAATTGAACTATTTCCGTATTTTTTTTATATTAATTTATTCTTTGGTTTTTTTGAATAACTTAATAGCATTATAAATATTTCAATTAATAAAAAATATGTAAAGAAATTTATATTTGGTATATTTATTGATATATTATTATAAATATTTACTTACTTTCCAGGTAATTATGTAGGTAAATTCAATATTTTATATTACTGTTTTTTTTTTTTAATAACATTTTTTAATAGCTTTTTAATTATTAACTTTTATTTGTTATTTTTGAAGACTTAAGTTACAATCTATCATTATTCAAAAAAATAAAAATCTTTATATATATATAAATATAGATACATGTTATTTTAAATATATTACTACGAATGTCTTCATATACATATATTTCAAATATCTTCCATGTATTAAAAACTTTTTTATATAAAATTTTGTTATAATTTT